TTATGTAGCTGTTAATTGTAAATGAGTTATATTCATTTTATCTTGATTAGATTCAAGTGGATATTTCATTTAAATATTTTATAATCTTTTTGGTTTTTATTTAGTATTTCGCACTTATATCTAGTTTTCATTGACTCAAGATTTACAAACCCGCTGCTCACAGCAGGTTTCACTCCAGACCGTGAGAGGCAGTGGTGGGCGAGTGACGCTGTGTCAGATCAGTGGGTCTGAGTCTGAACCAATCAGTGTGCTTACATCGTTCACCACCGTACAGGAGTGGTGCTGTGCAGTTGTGACTCAGTGTCAAAGAGACGTTAGTTTGGAGTGTTGGTGAGCTCAACTGTACTGAGAACTGAACGAATCAGTTACTGAAGTGATTTGATTCAGTTCGTTCACTGAATTGATTCATTAAAATGATCGAACCATTCATGAACGACACAACACTATCATTTACTGTTCTAACATTACATCAGTCACTGCTCGTTTACCCCCAATTTACACTACATGTGGTCCGACCTCCGCAGCAAACACACACCCATTATAACCAATGAGAGTGTTTACACTGGCTGCACACGGCTGCGGTGAGCGGACGACGATCCATCAAAATTAGGACAAATCCTATTTTTGCCGGACACCGGAGCAGCACCAGAGTCAATTTTTAAAGATTACGTCGCACCAACAGGAAAAGAAACGAACACAACATCCGTATTTTCAAAATAAGACACTTTTAGGCTGGATAATTTGTTGGAATAATGTTGAAATTACAGCTATATTAATAAATATACAGATATATTTCTACACAAATGCTGTCAGAATGTATCGTTCTGTTTGGGAAGCAGATGGAAACATGTAGCATGAAGCATATGTGTACACACATGATACATGTGGGTTTTATTTTGAAATCAGAAGTTTCAGAAAGACGACAGCGATACAGTTTCAACATAGATACCAAAAGCCTTTATATCGTTATTTTCAGCTGTGTTTGGAGTTTGTCTTTCACAGAATTAATTATTTTTTGCTCTGACTTCCACATTTATCACTGAATTTATCACGCGATCTGCTTCCTGCACGTCTGTCGGACTGGACCAGAGCGGAGGTAGTGTAAACTGGACTTGAAACGCTCTGCTGCGCAGGTCGCAGCGGAGCGGTGACGGAACACATGTAGTGTAAATTAGGGGTTACTGTTCTCATTTATTGTTCTCACATCAGTCACGTTCAAATGAGAAACAATGAGGCCAACTGCACGTGTCTTCTTGTGCCCACAGACCAAAGTCCTGCAGATCAAGCAGAGATCAGACTTTTCCCGCTCAGGCCAGTGGGACGTAGAGACGGAGAACAAGGATGGAAAACAGGAAAGGCACATTTTTGATGCCGTGATGATCTGCATTGGGCATCACTGCGAGCCACACCTGCCTCTGCAGGACTTCCCAGGTAAMAAAGCTCTCCAGGCCGGGATGGCACAGACTGAGCAGAACTGTAGTACAATATAAATTATGCTTTTTTTTAAACAAATGTCTACCACTGAAGTTTTTTTAATGGTTTAGGTGCAAACAAACCACAATATGTTCTTTTCCTCAGGCATTGAGACTTTCAAGGGCAAGTATTTCCACAGCAGAGACTACAAAACTCCTGAGGAGTGGAGGAATAAGAAGGCTGTGGTGGTGGGAATAGGAAACTCTGGAATAGACATCGCTGTTGAGCTGAGCAGAGTCACCAAACAGGTGTGTTGGGCAGGTCCTTGTGTCATATATTCAAATCACGTCACTCTCTAGGTAGTTTTATATTTCTGTCAGTCGCAGCATTCCTTCAAAACAAAGTGACGTTCTGACCAGTAACAATTTAAATTCAAAAATCTAAATAATATTTTAAATAGTAAAAAATATGTTTTATGGTCTTCATCACTGAGATTATCCAAAAATATCAGATGCAGAAAATTGTTTAAATGTTTAAGCAGATATTTTTATAACTAGTCTGAATGTGTACTGCAGATATACAGAACTTCCTGCTTAAACTAATATTTTAGATGCAAGAAGGGCTTTCAATCAGTATTTCATATATCTCACGTCCACACAGTTTTTCACATCTTATTTTAAAGGGATCCATGATTAGTTGTAACATTAGACTTT